ATTTCAAAATTGGCTTGACGAAAGGTTTCGTCAATCGTCAATGACGAAAGTTTCGTCATTCGTCAAGCATCTTTATCGTAAGCGCAGACTTCTTGTCCTGTTTCGTTGAGAGTAAGATAAGAAGTTATAGGATAAAGTTCACTTATTGTGCTATCGTCCGAAGTTAATCCGGTAGTATAAGGAATATTATTCCAGTCAATCGATATAGAATTTACAAAAACATAATCTAAACCATTATCACCAAACATCATATCGTAAGCATATCCAATATGTGTTATGTTACCATCATCCAAATTTTCAGAAACACTATCAGGATGTTGATTAGGAAAGAAATTACAGTTAATTCTAGTGCAACACTGAGCCGATGTGATTAAACCATCAATACCCTGTTTATTGCCTATAAAAGCAGCAGTACAACTTTTCGTACTCTCAAATAATATTGGATATCCCGCAAACATTTCACCCGGATCAGTGTAATTTTCACCAGTATCTCTTTTATTATTATTATTAGCTGGCTGAGGTTGTTTATAACATTTTCCGAGATTCAACCCTAAACACAAGAAACTTAAAATAAATAAAAATTCGATTATCTTCATGATATTAAAATTTTAGTAACTTTATAAACTACTTTTCATCCTTTCCTAAATTCTGACCTTTTATATTTATTTTTGACATGATTATGTAGGTAAAAAGATTTTCTTGTCGCAAATAATTAATTTTTTTTCTGTAACATTTCTCTAATTTTTTTATACCATACAATGGTCGCGAAAATATGTATGGCTGATTCAATTTTACCATGCTTTTCAAATTACTGTGATCGGCAAATGATCGCCAATCACACGAAAATCTTAAAATTGGGTTTGGTTCAAAATCTCGTCCCGAAGAACGAAATCCCGAAAAAATTGACCAGAATTAAGCTAACCTAATTCGGGCTAACTTTTCGGGATTCTGATCTTTCAGGATTTTGTTCGTCGGGATTTTGTCCGGCTCCCCTTAAAAGTTCCTTAAATTCTTCATTTTTTAAAAAATTATCACATAAAAAGTCACAATTCCAAAGATTTCTTGTCAAATTCCAATTCTTTAGTATAACATCCATTAGTGTACTAGATCTTGC